ACACACACACACACATATATATATATACACACATACATACACACACACACACACACACATATGTAAAAATGAGGTCACATTATATTTCAGGACTGCATTTGGACAGAATTGTGAAGTTTGTCTTTTAAAAAAAATGTCACTAGGAACATTTTAGGATTTGAGTAACAATTCTTGTAGGTTTCCTGCTTCAAAGTAAGTAGGGTGAAGATCTGTTCTCCCTTGTTCAAAAATATAGATGACCAAATTTACAGGAAAGGAAATCACAGCTGAATGATAGGAAAAATCTTAACAGTAAGAGAGGTTCAAAGTAGAGCCAGCTGCCCTCACAAATGGAGGCCTCCCTCTTTGCTGAATAGGGAAGCTAGACAGGAATTTGTCATGGTTGCTTTAATTCGGATTCCTACATGAAAGAGAGGGTTAGGCTAAATTGCAATGACTCCTCCTCATACTACAGTTCTACAGTGTACAGATATTTTCTGTCTAGTAGGAGTCTGTCTCCAAATACCCATTCCAATTACAAAAAAAACACAAAACCAATCTACAGAACACTGTTTCTTAACCCCAGCAACTTTAAGATGTGTGGATTTCTCAGAATTCTTAGGCCAGCAAGTAGGGCCTAGGAAAAGACAATAAATTATATGCCCGAGTTAGGCTACAAGGATAATAGGAAGCAAAAGAGGAGGGAACAACAAACTTCCTGTGGGTAAACCGTTTTATGTCATTTCAGCTAGCGCTCAGAAATAACAGCCGTCCCTTTGCTCATTACTTCTCACCTCGAATAAGTTCTGTCCACAAGAGCGTCTGTGCAGCTTTGTCAGTGACTGATTTCCAGTCTGTTTGCTCTTCCTTTGCATTCACATACTCTGCAGCAAAACAACAATGAGGAGGGAATTGTTGCCATTCAGACACCACAGAAGCATTTTATAGAAAAGAAACAATAAAGAGAAATGGTTAATCTAGCAAGAATTGTTAAAACAAGAACATGGAGATCGTAAGATGAAACCAAGCGAGCAGCTGGCTGCAGGTGGATTTAGCTTTCAATGGTTTTTGTTTGCATAATTAAGAGAAAGATTGAAGGTAGATAATAGGACATTTGGAACTAAGCAACAGAAGACAGAATTTGAAATTGAAATGCATAGATGAGCATGTAATTGCCAAACTCTTCAACTCTTACTGAAATTTGAAATGGAGGTCAAAGAAGTGAATCTATGATAAAATATGCAAATAATTTTGGACATAACATAACAATAATTTTGGAACAGTAGGAAAACATATGGTTGGAAAGACTGAAATTTACATAATGTTTTAGCCTAAAAGAGTATTATAACCTAAATAGACTGTTGGCACATGACTCCAGAAAAATTATACAGAATGCATATAATTCAAATTTATGTTAGAAATGTGGACATACACAAAGAACCATTTTTTTCATGGTTGGTGGACTTGTAAAAAAACAAACATTAATTCTGGATTCAGTTACATATATTGATACAAAGAATTTTAAAGATTAAAATTGAACTGAAACCAGAACTATTTTTTGTTGGGATTAATGGACAATTAGAAAAAAGGTTTTTGCATATGAACACTGCTGAGAGATAACTATATTCAGAAAAATGGAAAGATGTCAAAATAACTCCACAGAGGAATGGTTGGTGAAGATGACAGATCTAGCACAGATGACAAAATTAACTTGTTTAGAAAAAGATCAACTACTATATTCACTAGCAACTGGAAACCCTTTATAGAGTTTTTGCTGAAAAAACGAAAAAACAACAACGAAGTGATGATTTATGGATTTGATTATTAGAAAGTGTAGGTAATAGAAAAAAATGAGTCTTTGATGTTATGTCAGAGATGGTAAAATATCAATGTACATATAATTGCTATTAAGAAGACCAGAAGCCATTTGTTTCTTATTTTTCCCTTCTTCCTTTTTTTCTGCCTAATTCTTTTTCATTTTATATTAACTTTCTCCCTTATCTTTAACTTAAAATTTGTATTGTTTTTAACAATAAGAAAAAAAACTTCTTTAATGAAATTTATACATTACATACATATAAAATAAGTCATTATAGAAAGATGACCATAGTAAATTGATTTACTATGGAAACTGCACAAACAGGAGAATAGTCTCAACGTTCTTAGGAAAAGTAAAACTTGCAAAGCAACATTGTCCATGCCCAAGAACACTGGTAACCATTTCCTTGCCTGTCCTATTCCCAGCAGAATCCATGAATTATGTAGGAATGATAATGATGACTTCACAAGTTGCACAAGCACAGTATGTTTTTCTAGGCACTATATCTCACTGAGAAAGACTGTCCAAATTAAATTTTATGTTCCCCAAGAGGAACATAGTAACATTTGTATCCTCTGTAAAATATGACTTCCAAATGTTTTCAATTATCTTGTATTAGTAATTGCAATTTTCCTACGGTGACCCCCTACTTAAAGTGTTGTGGAGCAGATGATGCACTTACTATAAGAAGCTCTGGAGGTTGTACTGCTGAGATGTCGGGTAATATTCAGGCACATTGGAATCCCTAAAGAGTAACAGCAGTGTTATTTTGAAGCAAAAATAGAAATACTCATCCCAGAAGCCCCAAAGCAGAAATCTTCTAACCCAGATCCCCTTGATATTGTTTTTTTTTAATTTTGAACAAACTCTTTCTAGAGGATCCATGTAGATAAGCATTTATCTGGCAGCTATAAGCAAGAAGAATAAGGAATTGGCAGAAGAAATGCTATTGAGTAAACTGGCTAGACAAAGCAAAGAACTAATTGGGCTGCCAGAAGAAAAATGTCCCCTCTATTTCCAGAAGAAACCAAAGAGCTCTTCATTCCGCTTGTCAATCTAAATTGCAGCTAATACTGGTAGCCCTCAACTTACAAATATTTGTTTAGTGACCTTTTGGAGTCAAAACAGCAGTGGAAATTTTGGGCTCAGTTGTGGTCATAAGTCAAGGACTACCTGTATTATGACCTGGATGATTTGCAAACAATATAATTAGACCACTAAACTCTTTGAAGAGAAGGGTATTTAGTGCCTGTGCTTACAGGCAACTTATTAGGTACTGGGACAAATAACAAATGATTAATACCATAAGGTAAAGATAAAGGTTCCCCTTGCACATACGTGCTAGTCATTTCTGGTACCAATTAAATCAGTGTGATTTACAGAACAAGCCACAACTGGTCAGTTTTACACATTGCAATACCTACTGTGTTTTCCCGAAAATCAGACCGTGTCTTATATTTTTCCCTACCAAAACAGGCAGCAGGTCTTATTTTGGGGGAATGTCATCCATTGATTAACCTCACTTGCCCACGTCACCCCCGGCCTACTTTTCGCTGTCAGAGGCCTTCAGGAACTTCTTCTGCAGCTGTCAAGGCTTTCCTGGAGGCCTCTGGAGCCAACAACAGAGCTCCGGGTCGATCTGGAACTTTGTTCTTAGCTAGAGGCCTTCAGGAAAGCCTTGCCAGACTTGCTGGCTGCAGAAGAATTGGGCTGGCAAGATAGGTGTCAGGGTGTGCGAGGCCTGGCTACAACTGTCTGAAAGTAAGTAGGGCAGCTCCACCAACCCCATCCCCACCCTAGCTTAATTTTTACCCATGTACTCTGGAGAGGGTGGGGTCTTAATTAGGGCTTATTTGCGGGGTAGGGCTTATATTGGGTGCACATGTAAAAATCAAGCTAGCACTTACTTTCCGGATAGGTCGTATTTTCAGGAAAATGGGGTATTATAAACAATGGTTTGCAATTCACAATAGCTGTGGTCACAAGTTACATCAAAATCAAAGAAACTATGTTGCAGCTTAGCACAATGCAAGAATCCAGTCATAGTCTGGCACATCATGCCTATACTTGACATCAGCATCCTTATTATGTCCCCTTTATACACTTCCTGTAAATACAGGGCATAGCTATAATATCTGAATTCATAAACGCATTTTAAAATTAAAGTGCAAAATTACGTTTTGTGAAACTTCTGCTATGAACTCTACCTTGACAAAGTGAATGCCATAAAATTAGCAAAAGCACTTGGCAGAGAAAATATCCCAAGACCTTTTTCTAAGGTGGATGCTTTTAGCAAAAAGAAGAGATATAAATGCAATTAAGTAAGTTAAATGCAATTAAGGCGTGTAGCGCCTTACTGCAATCTACAAAGCACTTTCAGCATAAATGGCTTTTTCTGAAGTTTTCATCCTGAAGAAACTCTGCAACTCTACTTACCGGTCTGGGAAACCTGGCGCACCATCCAGAGGACATGCATTTTCAGCTTGAGTCTAGGACTCCTCTACAAAAGTAGCAAGGAAAAAAAAGAAGTTTTAAAAAACTTAAAGCAACCAGGTCCACTGGTTATTATAGAAATCCATTAACATCATAAAATGCCCTAGGTTCAGCAAAACTCAGATGAGGTAGGTGCTAAACAATTAGTGGGGGGAGGGAAGAGAGAAAGAATAGAAATCTAAATACATTCCACTAAAAATAACTTGACCCTTGTGGGACAATATTTAGGGTTCACAACATAACCCCTGACCATTTATCCACGAATAACGCGGTCCTTGGATTTAAATCTTGACGTTTTTCCTCTGTGAAAGTGCATCTGAGACAGCATGTCAAACGCTCCTGAATAAGTAGGATTTTTATTGATTGTGGTTTTCTCGGCTGCTGGGGTGAGGGTGGTCGTGTGGGAACGTGCACCAAAAATGCCAAAACTGCAAAGAGCTGAAAGCATGGAAATCACACCAGACCAGAAGTTATTCGGAATCCCCAGTCACAGGCCCGGGGCAACCCAACCACGCTGCAAACGCGGACCATGTTTTGTACAGGGCGCTGCTTACATTCAGAGAACCAAGGAGGAAGCGCAGAGAGCTTCAAAGCCACAAGACTCCGCAAGAAAAAAAAAAATCGTCCTTGCTAACACTTCGGAAGACTTAAATCCATCCAATGTCAGATAAACAATGGCGCGCATGCGCAACTCGCTTCGCGGTTACCCCTTTCGTCTGAAAACTTCGCCAGGAGCTTGCGCTAACGCCAGCCCAAGTAACGCATGCGCGTTTCTACGTCCTCAAGGCACTCTTGAAGGTCCCAGAGTCCGGCGCTACTACGCTTCTTTCCCCTCCCCTTCTCTCAGCGGAAGAATTTCCGGGTGCCACGGAAAGCCAAGCAGGACAAAAAAAGTCAAGAACGCAAAAACAGTGTTATCAAACCACCGTGTTACTCAGTGCCGCCGACAAGCGGCAAAAATAACTGGGACCAATCACCACATGGCTGAAAAGGCATTGGTTGAAAATTACCCGCGAGAAGTAGGACGTCCCTCGCGCTTTGGCAGAACGTTCGGAAACCTCTCAATATTTGGGGGCGGGGATAAGATTAAATGCCGCCAGTTGGGACTGAGACTAAGTCATTGATTGGCTGAATGGTTGTATCATTGATCCACGATCCTGCGTGGATTGGTGGATGTAATTTATCGGGTAGATTCGTAGAAGATTAGTTCGGTGGTGCTTAGTAGTAGTCCTTATGTTAGAAGTCCCTAAATTTGGCAACTTTAGGACTTGTGGACTTCAACTCCCAGAATTCTCCAGCCAGCTGGCTGGAGAATTCTGGGAGTTGAAGTCCACAAGTCTTAAAGTTGCCTAGTTTGAGGACCCCTGCTTTATCTCTTTCATAATGCTTCCTTGCTCAGTTTAGTTAACATTTCCATGTAAACCACTTGTTATTTGTAATTGTCACCAGCTTCGTAATTCCCAGGGTAACCCGTAATCATATTGTCTGGATCGTTTTTTGAGGACATCCCAATATTTAAATTGGTTTGCGCTGCTTCAGTTCTGTGAAATAGTAGCTTTGGCTCGCTTTATCCGTCATAGGGTGAAATCTGTACACTTTGTTTCTACCAAAGTAAATTTTATGTAAGTGTTATGTGTCTAGTACGGAGATTCTCAAACAGCCGGGTCATGGTTGTCCCAAAGGTGCTTGTTAAAAGGCAATTGGACTTTCGTGGTTTTTCCTTGAAACCATTTTCCTTCTCATCCAAAAAGCTTCCGCTTCTGGCTGAACAATGGGGAATTGGAAGTATTTATATTCTTTGCAGTCATCTGATTGTTAGCTCTCTGAGTGGTAGAAGATGCTTGGGGATTTATCTCTACCCTCAGGGTTACCTGAATGAGAGTGCAAATGGGGGTGGAACCTTCTTGGTACTGCTGAAAGGGCTGTATTGTAAATAGGAGGTGGGTGCTGTCATATTGAGAGGGTTGCTCGATTTTAACATAGATGGCCTCCTTGGCCCTCTTTCAAACCAGTGGCCCTCTCTGTCCAGAATGTGGACTTTGCTGTCTTCAAAAGAGTGACTTTTGTCTTTCAGAGGCAGAGGCACTGATGAATCTTGTCCTGATGAGTTTGTTCTCCTGTGTTGTGCCATTCATTTATTGAACCCTTTAACTCTTTTTTTTTCAATTCTATGTTCTCAGCAATTTTTCATTACGGGTAGTGCTCGAGTTATGGATGGAAGGGAGCCTGTCCATTCCACTCGTAACCCAAGGATTATTGGGAGTGAATCTCATACCTTGAATGGGATTACCCCTTCCTTTCGTCCACACGCTCACTAATCGAACGCACGGTTCATGAAGTGCACGTGAGGTATTTCAGGGTGAGGAAGGCCATGGGGGGCGGGGGCTAGTGATGGAATTGGCCACCTACTTAAGTTCACCCCAGGCCTCCCTGACCCACTGAAATACCTTATGCTCCCAATTGCTTTCCCCCACAACCTGCTCCGCTGAGTCACTTATCATGCAAAGATCCAGCAAGCTGTCTCCTGTCCAGCCTGTCAGCCCCAGGTGCCCCACGGCAGCTCCGTTTTGGTCTGCGCAGGCCTCATACGGCACTTTGCAGGCCAAAACAGAGCTCCAGGACTAAACAGACAAACATTGTTACAGAACATTTTGTTACTCCCTGAAAACTCTTTGTATCTAATTGAAGAAACACAAGTCTATCTGATTGTGATTTACTTACTACTTTAAAATACCAAGATGCTCTTTATTTTTATTGTAGCAAATTGCTTACACCTTCACTTGAGTATTTGTTCTTTAAACTTTGTTTTCTTTGTTTCCTGATATCTATATTTTAATCAAAAACTCCTGTTATAGGAATAAATTTTTGGCTAATTTTATTAGGTTATTAATTTTATTATTAATTTTATTATATTAGGTAATTCACTATGTCAATTGATAGCACTATTAAATAATTAGTCAACTATCTGCATGGTTTGATTCAAGATCTTTATTACAGAAGGAAAACATTTGCTTGAAAATGCAAACCTGCAGGAAATCTCAATAAGATTGCAATCTTCAGCAAAATTACATGGAAATAAATCTCTGAAATTGATAGGACATATATAGTGTATTTTAAATTATTATGATTGGGCTAGGCAATATAGAAATCACTAATGACATAAAGAATCTGATGTCAACTGTTCCATGTTGGAGAGAATGTTTACCTCTCTACCAAATATGTAAAGCTAAAACTGTTGTGCAAAAAACTAGGCCCCAAGTTTTTACAGCCATTCCCCATTGTGAGACTCTTTAACCCGGTCACAGTAGAATTGAAATTTCCCCGCCTTCTGGGAAAGGTACACTCAATTTTCCATAGTAGCCTACTGAAGCCGGTGGTAGGTTCTGAGCTAAGGCAGGCAGCTCAAGTGGGCCCAGACCCCATACTGATGGAAGAGGAGACCCATTACAAAGTAAAGCGAATCCTAGATCCCAGGCTCTATAAAGGAAAGCTACAATACTTGGTTCAATGGAAGGTATCATCTGACATCTGAATTTTAACATCCTTGCAGGCAAGGATATTGAAAGAAATATAATTAAAGGTGGCATGTCTGAGCTTTAGAGCATCACAATATAGAAAATGCATTGTCAACAGAATATGTTTATGTGTAATATGTATTAGATCAGCTTCGAATTTTTAAAAGTTTAATTAATCCAGTGTTTAAATATCCATCGGAAATAGTTGATCATTTTACAAAGACCATCCATACTGCTACCCTTACTGTACAAGTACCGTGTTTCTCATATAATAAGGCTGGGTCTTATTTTCTTTTGAGCCCTGAAAAAATGGCTCAGCCGTCTTTTCGGGGGTGACTTAATTCCCCCCCCCCTTGCATCTTCGGGCGGGCGGCGACGGCTTGGATGTTGACCTTGGCGTTGGTGGGGCACTTCGTATCAGGGTCAACGCAGGCAGCACCATATCCGGGTGTGCAACAAAAGTACTTCCTAACGGCAAGCCCCCCCCCACCATTCCCCACCATTTCGCATGTTTTAATATAGGCCTTAATTTGGGGGGAGGGGCTTAATTTCATTTCATGCCTATAAAACATGCTGGGACTTCCTATTGGGGGAGGCCGTATTGTTGGAGAAACAGGGTATATAAATCAGAACACTGTAAAGAGGAGCTATACTTGTCAATTTTTAACAAAGTATATGATACTTCTCGAGTTTTTAAGCTGAATTAACTTTTTGTGTTAAAGGCAAGATGAGATTTTATACGTAAATGTTAATTATATAGTCCTTGCTGGAATTGAGAACATGTCGTATATCCAACAATGGTGCAAAGAGAATTGAAGGTTCCTGTTGTGGTTTGCCGGCAACAGGTGCGGACGGCTGAGGTCTCAGAAAGTGAAGACTCAGATGAGGGGCCTGCGTGTGATGCAGGGATGGAATGCTGCCTTTGGAGATTGTGGAGGCTGGCAGCAGTGATGAAGAGGTCTCCGAGGAGCCTGTGCCCAGAGCACATGCACGCAGAGCTGCTCGAAGAAAAGAGCAGCTGCAGCAGCGTGGGCAACTCAGGAGTAAGGCTGCAAGGTAATGGCCCCTCCCTTAAGAGATAAAAGCCAGCTGAGAAACCGGAGTTCTTTGCAGGAAGCAAATAAGTTTTTGCACTCAAGCCTTGTGGACATTCAGACTATCTTAGTTTGTGTTTGGAGACTCTTTGTGTTTGAAATATTTCTTGGTAACTTTTTCTACTGTTCTTGGCAGCCTTGCACAACCTTGGCGAGGCTCGTTCTTATCAGAGATAATTAGTTTGAAACAGCCTTTTAACCATGAAGGAACAGAATTCGTAAAGAATCATTAAAAGGTTTTGCTGTTACTTCTGTTTTGTGTTTGTTTCCTTGGAACAAGGTTTGTGTCAGAACAGATCCCTAAGTTTTCTAACCACTACTAAATGTTGAATTTACTGAAGGTGGTATAGGATAAAGAAAAAAACGTAAGAAGCAAAGATGGCAAAAATAAAGTTTGTCAGAACAGAGAGTGTTTTTCAAGGATCTTTGAAAGTGATGAGGCAAAATTCTAGGACCAGCTGATGAAGGAAAAAAATCTCTCAACTCTACAGAAAAATTGTTGGTAGATGTTCCTTAAGAACACAGGTGATGTGCTTTAATGCCTTACAACAAAGTGCACATGCTACGCCTGACCTCCATAGAGGCAACCGTCATTCTCAAATTATTATCGTTGTATGGTGGGTAGCGCATTTTGTTGATTGTTTCCAGGCCTATGTAGCGCAAGAGACAGCCACGGAAGTGAGTAAATGTGTCGAAAGTAAATTTGCCATGGTACTTGCCAAATCCACTGCATCCTGCAATAGTTTAAAAAAAAATCAAATCAAATCTTGCACACTCATATTTTAGCTGACAACACAACTTGAGCAGCCCTTGTACTTATTCTTGTTCAAGCTAGATAATAGCTGCCTTAAAACCTCTTCTCCTAATACTTATTACAAAAGGTTTTACATTCAATGGATATTGAACAACTACTCTTAAAAAAGAAACTAAAGAAGAGAATCCCACATAGACAAGCAAAACTTGGTTCGGTAATAACTTACTGGCTGTTTTGTTTCATGATTGGTAAACTACCATGGCCTTAATCCTCAATAAAATGGAATTATTGTTTTTTTTAGTTATATCAAATGTTGATTTACACATCATGTTAAGCTGCATTTAGTGTAATGTGTGACTCTATTGAACCAGAGCTGTTTATATTTTGATCTTGTTAACTTTACTTACAAAGTTAAAATAATGAGCCTCCTCCCCTTACATTTGCTTTCCAGTATAATGTAGACCAGATTTCCTGCTCTCTTGTTTTATTTATAGATCAGATAATCTGTCAGGTCATCCTTTTAGTGATGTTTCCTTACCGGATAACTCAATGTTTTCAACAGTTGGCAGAGTTTCTAATAAACTGCCTTTAGTGAAAAAAGCTGGGATACATTCAGAGAAGTATCTGACTTGAAAATAGCCCATGTTAAACTGTATAGCACAATTAAGCATCAGCACTAAAGGTGTTTTATGACATTTTGTATTATGTCCTAAGCTATTTTATAATAATTGTATGTCATAAAGTAATTTTATTTAATTTGCCAAATTTCAATTTCACTGGAGTCCTGAGTTCCAGATTATGAATGCATTCTGTAAGGTACCTCAAAAAATGTGTTCTATGGTTGGTGCATTGTTTTTCCCAGTTAAAGGTTACATGAATCAAGTTTTACTACTATATAGACAACCACCTGGCTTATAGCACAGAGGGGAATTTACTATTTGAGCAATTTGTTTTTACCAGCAAATGGTTTAAAATTAACTTTTAATATTTTTTGTCTTCAGACTGATGAAAAGCATCATCAAGAGCAGTGGTGAGATTAAAATGTTTTTACTACCGGTTCTGTGGGTGTGGCTTGGTGGGCATGGCAGGGGAAGGATATTGTAAAATCTCTAGTCAGAGGTGGGATTTTCCGGTTCTCTGAACTACTCAAAATTTCTGCTACCGGTTCTCCAGAACTGGTCAGAACCTGCTGAATACCCACCTCTGAGCAAGAGGGAGAACTTGTCTGTTGAGAGGGAAGGGTAAGGATAGAGGTAAGATAGAGGTAAGATAACATAGAAAACTAATCATACCAATGCCGCCAAATGGTAGGGTAACCAATGTTGCGTGCAACATGGTATCATTACCGCAAAAGCCACCACTGCTAGTGCGATCGAGTACCTCGTTCACAACCTATAAAGAGAGAAAGAATAGAAGATTATTAGGAGTCCCACCCTTAATTTTACAAACATGAGTTTCATCAGGTCCCAGCTCTATAATAATAAGGGTCACAATACAAACAAGGGTCTTTAACCTTTGGGCCACTACGAACATTTGGAATATTGAATATGTGCCACAGACACACTCACAAAATGGCTAATATTGTAGATGTAGTTAATTAGCAATTGGAAGGCAGAAATAAAGATTCTCTATGAATCTGAATAAAATAGTTGAGAGATTGAAAATACAAATGACCCTTTTTGGACTCACACACTCAGTTTTCTACTCCCATGTACTTCCATACAGAGCCAAGAGCAATGAATGGATATAAAAATGACAAGTTTGGTTAATTTAATCAATGCCCTCTCCCAAGCAAGAGCTTTACTGCATACAGGTAGTCCTCGATTACAACTTTTCATTTAGTAACCATTCAAAGTTACAATCACATTAAAAATAAGTGACATGACTGGTTTTCACCCCCATGGTTCTGTATCAGAATTCAGGCAGGTGGCATGCAAGAGTTGTGGTGGCGCAGTGGTTAGAATGCAGTATTGCAGGCTAATTCAGCTCACTGCCTGGAGTTTGATTCCCACCAGGCTCAAGGTTGATTCAGTTTTCCATCCTTCTGAAGTGGGTAAAATGAGGACCCCGATTGTTGTGGGCAACATGCTGACTTTGTAAATCGCTAAGAGAGGGCTGTAAAGCACTGTGAAGTGATATGTAAGTCTAAATGCTATTTCTATTGCTATTTATGACATTTGCAGTGTCCCAAGGTCAGGTGATCACTACTTGTAAACTTTCCAGCTGGCTTCCAACAAGCAATGGGCAAAGCCAGATTTGTTTAATGAATGCATGATTCACATAACAACTGCAGTGATTTGCTTAACAACTGTGGCAAACAAGGTGATAAAATATGGCAAAACCCACTTAAAACTGCTGTAAGTTGAGCAGTACTTGTACACTCAGCAGTTTGTCTCAAGTTCTCTTCCCAGATAAAGGGAAAAGTTGTATTTTTAAAATGCAAAGGCAGAATTCTGGGTTACAAAACACAGAAATGTCAGTGTCTGAATTTGGGGGGGGGGGGAATGGAGGATGCCATTTCCCCACCACCTCTGATAAATAGCTGAAATTACTGAATAGCTGAATTACTAATAGCTGAAACTTCAAGAAGTTGCAGGAGGCTCAAGGACAGAGAAACAGGACTTTGCTTCAGGATTCAGCTTATTAGGAATAGGTGACTGCTATGGTTACAGATTGTGCTAATTTTTAACTTCTTTTTCTGTGTATTAGAAAATTTATTCTTTCTTGTTTCCATTTCTCTGGAAAGTTACGAAATACTGTATAATTGCTAATTTTTGAGACCTGATACAGAACTTGAAAACTGTCTTCCCCCAAGCTTACTAATTACAAAATACAACCACAATCTTGTGGTCTGTCAAGAGCATGGTGTGCATTTTGTAAATTGGATGCTATATATCCTAGTTTTTTGAGAAATAAAGATTGATTATCCCTTGCAAAATAGCTGAAGTAATTAGTCACATAACTTTATGCTACAAGGACAGGATGGCATATTACAGAAATTATTTCATTTCCCCCCGCTATTTATTTGCCTAAAGGACAATACATGTTGTGGGAGCCTCTCTCTTTCCCAGACCAAGGATGGAGTGAAACTCCTTGGAAAATAGTAAGGACACAAGTAATTAACAAACAGCTGCAATCCTAGAAGGAATGGCAGAATGTATAAACCTAGCAGGATTCTGGGAGAGGACATTTGAAATGGGAGGAGGACATATAAAATGTCTTTCCACAATCTATAACCTGTACAGCACCTCAAAAACAAGCCCAGAAATATAGCTGCCCTCACACAGTGTAACCCCTAGTTACTCTCCTGAACATGTGGGATGAAGTCATAGTTCAAACTCTCATTTTATTATTTGCTTAATTTTGTTGTCCTTGAGACTGGATTTTCAGTGTAGTTACGTGGTTGTATTTTAATTTAGCCACGTCTCTTCTTCTGGGAGTTGGGAATCACATAGCATATTTAGAAAAGTTCTGGTCAGAAGAAAAGTGACCTCTCAGTAATTTTATGTATCAAACTTTTTAAAACATCACACGATTTCAAAGAAGAGAAGTGCCTTAGTGAAAGTAAATACAGTGCAGGGAAGAGGCTGCCATGCACGTTGTACAAAGTCTTGATTTTTTGTTGCCAAAGGGAATATTGATCTAGAAAACCCACATTTGATCTACATCAAGACACAGAAGTCAGCAGTTACACAGGAAAGGGACATCTGGGCCATTTGGAATCCAGGAGACTTCCAACCTCCAGAGGGTTCCATGTGCCCCAGAATATCTACATAGAACATTCTTGTGGTACAAAACATTACTATCCATACCAGAACAACTTAGAGAAAACTCCTCAGCAGTGGACTGTGATGTGAGGGAGGCTATGCTTTGACAACATAGTTGTAAAACAGTACTGTAATGTAGTTTTCTTTGCATTATGAATGTGTGGGTGAGCCAATATTATTTTTAACATCGGCTTATTGGTAAATCAAGTGTAGATTTGGGCTTTCCCTCTATTATCCAAACTATGGAACAGGACAACACCCTGCGGCCAGCTCGTTGCAGCATCTCATTGTGGCCAACTCTGCAGTCATCCTAGTGCATCCATCTTGCTACTGCTATCTCACCGCTGCCAACTCGCATGGGGCAACTCACCACAGCCAACTTGCTGTGGGACAATTCACCACGGGACGATCCATGTAGTAGAATAACTCAACACAATAAATATTATCTGCCACTGTTCCTTTGACATTCCACTGACAAAAAGTGTCAATGGAAATAAAGTAGAAGAAACAATGGTGGATAACATTAATCACATTGAGTTATCCCACATGGATTATCCCATGGCAAGTTGGCTGTGCAAGTTGGCCATAGCAAGATGGCCATGGCAAGATGGCTCTAAAGAGTTGGCTGTGGCAAGATAGCAATGATGAAATGGCAGTAGTGAGTGGGCTGCAGCAAATTGTTCTAGACCCTCCAATCTATATTACCAGTGAACAAAGACTGCTACCATCATAGCTTACCACCAAACATATTTTGAAAATAGCGCACTTCTCCTTTCTTTTGACCATCATGGATGGGGTTATGGGAAATAATCCAGATTCTCCCAGATACAGTATGCTGTAGCTTAAACAATATACCTTGTTATCACAGGAAAAGGCATACACAGCTAGTGGGCGATCTCTGCAATTGATGAAGTGTATGGCCTCCTCCATATCGTTCACAGTGAATATTGGCAGGATGGGCGCAAGAACTTCCTCCTGCATGATTGGCTCCCATTCCTTCACATCTGCCAACACTGTTGGAGCTGTAATGGACAAAAGATCACATCAAGACTTGTTCTATTTATATACTATAATTTTATTTGGAGGGCTTTAGCTTTCCCCAGGTCTTCACTTCCAGTATGCAAACCCAGGAAAACATGTTTGTCTTCTTGCTTTATCATAAACAGACTTTCCCAGTCTGAGACTTGCAAAATCATACAATCATGAGTGTGCTGTCCAGCCAGTGTATGGGAATTGGATAGTTAGGTAGCAATTGTGAGCTGTTCTCTTAAGGGAATGCATCATGGTAAATGTAGTTAAGGTATCCTGGGAAATGTAGTCCATGTCACATGACCACATCTGTAATCCTAATTGGTCACTAAATTGACCCTCGATGGGTTGGGGGAGTTTTCCTCACTCTTGGCTGAACTCATGGACTCGTGGTAACTGTTTTACTTCTATCGTTACAAGATGGGAGAAAAAGGATAGGAAATAACCATCTTTTTACCTACAAGACAGATATGCAAAAGATTGGTCATTAAAGAAGAACTTCATCACAAATGTGAGTTATGAGGATACCTGATGAACCAATAAAAGTACTTTGTTATGGATGTTTTGTGGAGTTTATCTATCTGCATCTATACAGGATACAGAATAATGAGGCTGGAAGGGACCTTGAAGGTCGTCTAGTTCAACCGCTTGCCCAAGGTGAGGACTCCTTATACCATCCTGGACAAATGGATGTCCTATCTTTTCTTGAAAACTTCCAGGGCTGAAGCATCTACAACTCCAGGAGGCAAGCTGTTCCACTGGTTAATTGCTCTCACAGTCAGGAAATACGTCCTTTAAATCAGGGGTCCCCAACCACCGGTCCGCGGACCGGTACCGGTCCGCGGAACAAGTCCTACCGGGCCGCTGGCTTGCTGGGTGCCGCCATCTTTTTTTGATGAAAAAGTGCTTCCGGTGAGCTTTTCCGGGTAGAAAGCTCACCAGAAGCACTTTTTCATCAAAAAAAGATGGCGGCGCCCAGCTAATGCCGGTACCGGGCCGCGCCATAAAAAAGGTTGGGGATACCGGGCCGCGGCGTAAAAAAGGTTGGGGATCACTGCTTTAAATCTCTCTTTAACAAGCTTCCCCCCATTGCTTCTTGTCCATTTTCCTGGCTAGGTGCAGGACCTTGCTTTTCTCACTACTGAACTCCATCTTACTGGATTGCTCTATTCTTTCAAGAGACTTCTGAATCTTCCAAATGAACTCCCCTTCTATCCACTTTATCTTCTAGATCATTAATAAAGATGTTGAGCAATAGGCCCAAGACAGAACCTGAGCATGTTTCACTCCATTTATTTATTATTTATTAAATTTATGTGCTGCCCATTTAGACATTGTTACAGTCTGAATGTGGTGATCAGCCAATTGCAAATCAATCTGGTTCTATCTGTCCCAAGTTGTTCTATCTTACCATGAAATAGGCTATGATCTACTTTGCCAAATGCCTTCCTGAAGTCTAAGCATACTATATCCACAGCATTTCCTTGATCCACTAATTTAGTCACTTTATCAAAGAAGGCAATAAGGTTTATTTGGCACAATCTGTTTTTAACAAACCCATGTTGGCTTCTCTCAATTGCTTTGTTCATTTCTTGGTGCTCACAAATGTTCTGCTTGATTATCTTTTCTAGGATTTTCCCATGTAATGTTGTCAAGCTGATTGTTCCATTTCCCACTTACCCCTTTTTTTGAACCATATCAACTCTTTTCCAGTCCTCTGGTACTTCCCCAATATTCCAGGAGCTCTGAAAGATTTTGTTCAGTAATTCTGAGATCACATCTACCAGCTCTAATAGATTTAACCAATAATCAGAGTTGGAAGGGACCTTGTAGGTCATCTAGTCCAACCCCCCGCCCAAGCGGGAAACCCTACACCATTTCTGGCAAATGGCAGTCCAATCTCTTCTTGAAAGTCTCAACTGATGACGCTCCCACAACTTCCGAGGGCAAGCTGTTCCATTGGTTGATTGTTCTCACTGTCAGAAAGTTTCTCCTTATTTCCAGCTTAAATCTCTCCTTGTTCAGTTTCCATCCATTGTTCCTTGCCTGGCCTACAAGCTCTTTAAAAAATAGCTTGACCCCTTCCTCTCTGTGGCAGCCCCTCAAATATTGGAAGACTGCTATCATGTCTCCCCTGGTCCTTCTCTTTACTAGACTAGCCATGCCCAGTTCCTGTAACCGTTCTTCATATCTTTTAGTCTCCAGTCCCCTAATCATCCTGGTTGCCCTCCTCTGTACTCTTTCTAGAGTCTCAACATCTTTTTTTATAGTATGGTGACTCTTTTGGAATCCTGTAAACCATTCGGTCCTAGTGATTTGAACTCAGCTAAAGAGGAGAGGTGTTCTTTTACTAATTATTTTTGCCTATTTTGACCTGCTTTCCTGTTTTGTCTTGCACAGTGCTATTTTTTCCCTTTTCATGAAGACATTACAAAGAAGGAATTAAGTACTTCCACTTTCTCCTTGCTGTTCATCTTTCCATTTTTTATACTTGTCCTTTTCATCCCTTAGTTTGTCAGAGAACTCTTTATGCAAACATACTGGTTTTATTGAGAGGCTTTTTTTTTCTTTCTCTGTAGTATTGTGTTTGTTTGGACTTTAATAATCTCATTTTTCAGTGTTTGTTAGTTTGTTAAAAGTAGCTTTCTTGGACTTCAACTTTCAAAATGCCAAGCCTATGTGGCCAATGATAGTCCAACACATGTGTTAAGCATCAACTTGGGAGGTTGATCTAAATCAAAACTACTAACCATGCATTCTTAATAAGCTGGATTAATAGATTGATTAAATTGTATAAAAGCAGACACATGCCTGGAAGCTAAAATCATAAGACTATCGTCTGATTTACTTTTGGCCATGTTATGCATGCAAATTCATTGGAGAAGACAGTGATGCTAGGAATGGTTAGTGGACAAAGAGGAAGGAGCAAACTAAGAATATGCTGGATTGATAACAACAAATCTGATTGAAGATACAACAATTGAATTAAATGGTGCTTGACAAGGTCACATGGAGACCACTTGCCTATAAAGTCACCAAGAGTTGGATACGACCAATTGGTTAAAAACAATGATTGATTATGTACCATAAGTCATTTTCAACTCCTAGTGAACACATAGATTTATCTAAAAGCTTACTAGATACTGTTCAGGAAATGTCTTCCTGTCTTTCCCAAACTCCAAATCTTTCCCTTTCCTCCAGTCCTAAGTTGTGTACTCACCAATATAACGCTCACACTCATCGATCTCTCCACCAATGGCCACCCGGCCACATTCCAGGAAAGCTTGGGCTCTCTTGAAATGCCTGTCATTGACCATGCGGCCAAAATCAGCTGACTGTTTGGGTTCATTTCCAAAGAATTCACAGATAGCTTGGCGCAAGCAAGGCATCAACCTCTCCTGTGTTTCAACTGTACAGATCACATAATCTGGTGCGATGCATGTCTGTCCAGCATTGAGGAATTTTCCCCATACAATTCGGTTGGCTGCATTCTGGAAATTGCAGCACCTATCCACATAACAAGGACTTTTCCCCCCCAGTTCTAGAGTCAATGGTGTTACATGTTTTGCTGCAGCGGTCATGATGATCTTTCCTACACGGACACTCCCTATAAAGAAATGGGAAAATTTGGGTCAAAAGAGACGCATAGCAGAACTCCCATCCAGCTCTTGGGGGCTCAATTCTGTCTTCAAAAACTACCTGTTTTTTCTCTAATACTCTTCCATATAGATCAGCAATACTCCTTGTTGAATGTTTTAAAAACTCCATGAAATGTTAATAATAATCAGCAAGACAACTCTGCTTAAGCAGTTTTATGTAATGCAAAAATTATTTTCTGATTTAGTAAGAATTTGGAAAATATATTTTAAAAATGGTCAAAACATGGCAGCCTGGCAGCCTATCTATAATGATAATGTTCTGAATAGTTGGCAAATCAATGATTAACCAGTGTTTAATATATTGACTGTGCAAGAATTTGTATTGCATAAACTTGAAACCTACAAACGTTCCAATCATTTCTTGGTTAAAAAAAATAATTCAGTACAGCATTAAGATGAATTAATTGAAAAAAGTACACAGAATAATTATGTAAATTTATAAAATTACTGGGGTTATCTTCTAGATCAAATTACAGCTACCATCTAGGTATTTGTTTTCAACATTGCAAATCTGTTTCTGGTTTTGATTTTCTTTTAAAGGTTTTATGATTGTTAAAAACAAGGGAAGTAAAAAACAATGTTGTAAATAATCAAAAATAAATAAATGTTGGTTTTACTTATTTTTGTCAAAAGCAGATTGTTTGTCATCTTATGTTATAATCACATCATCAGATCTAATAGCCATGGCAGCTTTTCAGCTGAGAAAAACCCATCGATTTAGGGACACACTTAATTTCATAAAATCATAAAGACAGGCTAAATAATCCATTTAGTCCAACCAACTAAGAGAAGCATTTACAACAGGTGGTGTCCAGCTCTCCATGTTTATTATTAAAGCTATTATTTCATGTCATAACTTCTAGGATGACTAAGAAGTCTTTGTTTTCTACTTGGCATCTTTTCAAGTGCTTGAAAAGTATCATTTTCCCCCTCAACACCATATCTTTTCTTTCTTTAGGACTAAAAATTCCCAGTTCAAGTCTACGCCTTTCTTTTCCCAATCCCCTGATCAGGATTCTCTGAACCTATTCCAGGTTATCTAAAATCTTCAACAATAGTATCCAGAAGTGGACTTGATGCTGAAGGAATTGTCTGACCAACGCAGAATAAAGTTGAATACTATTTTAGTAATTTGATTGATGCAAACTAAAATTGCAAATATTTTTTACAGTCATATTACACTGCTGACTCATACATTTGTAATCAGCATTCTGTTCCAAGGACTGTTTACAATCTGGTGCATTTTTTTTGTTTTGTTTGTTAGGAATTTTGTTATCTGACTAAAAAATTCAATTTTCCCCTTATTTTTAGTTCATTTCCCTAACTTATTGTCTGCTAGAATAAATATTCCATCCACAAATTCCATGGGCAAATTTGATAATTATTTTATCTATCTCTTCATCCAAGTTATTTTAAATTGTCAATTTAGAATGTATCGAGACAGTCCATTAAAATCCCACATCAAAATCTGCTGCCAAATTCCTGTTAAATGGGCAGTTCTTATTATTACCCTGAGCAGTTCTGGGAATGAAAGAGGAAATGCAAATCTGGGTATCTTTCTTGTGAGAGGAAAAGCTAGAGAATTTTCATTATTTCCAAAAGACTGAAATTTTGCATTAAGCATAGGAGGGTTGTTTTTTTTTTCTTACAGTGTGACAACTTATCTTTTCACTTGTGGGTAAGATCTACAATCTGGAAGCTGCTGACAGCCGAAGTTACAAACACCATATTCAACAGTTTTCCTGGGCTATTGATGGGGAACTATGATGCATGTCATAAGTGACAAGTCACAATGTTTTGGGTGACAGGCCAGTTTCCACCAACACCTGACAACAATTCTTGAAAGCGTGCCCCATTCTGAAGCAATTTTCAGGGGCCGCGGAGGCTATGTGAGAAGGGGATGCGCTCTTGCACAGCCTCCAGGCATCCCGAGGAAAGGCCATGATGCTCTCATGCACCTCTAGAGCCTCCAAAGATTGTGTGAGAACGGGGCCTGCTTTAGTGTGAATTTTGGAGTCTTCAGAGGCATAGCATTTTCTGAAGCTGCTTCAAGAACAAAGGCTTCCTGCAACCTGGAGTAGCTCAGGTATGCTGCAGGAGCCTATCAAAAAGAGAACATCAGCTGAAGATAAGCAGCTCATGGCAGATCCCAGAGAGCACTTAGCCACAAGGGCAATCTTGCTGCTCCCCAAGTTTCACAGGTCTTGGGAAACAGTGTGAGGCGGCCTTTTTGAGTGGCAGCAGTGGGGCCTAGACTGAAGCCTCTGCTTCAGGTCCAGCCTTGGCACTGCCATCAAGGACTGCTATTCATGGTGGTCTGGGAGATAATGTTTCTCTGATGTTTGAGGGAGGTATGTGTGTGTGACATGCAGGCAGTGTTTAAGTTAGGCATTTTCTGAATTCTTGATATGTCAACCCCACAAAGCTTGCCATCACTGCCCTGTGTCTAACTTGCCACTGATTCAGCTATATTGCAATAAACATGGTAAAGCTACTTAACTAAGACATATGGCAAATTGCAGCACTGTATACAATTTGGTCTAAAGGTGTTGTAAGAGATAAATTCTACTGCAGAGGGGTCATAAATAATTATCTTAGATAAACAGAACCTTAAAAGTTTCAATAGTTGAACATTGACTTACCACATAGATATTTGAATAGTCATTAATAATACTTTTTGTAAAAAGTACTATCGAAAAGAATAACCTGAAAAGAATATTCAAGAAGGGAAAATCACCTGTATAGAAGATATAATCAAACTTATTTTCCAGTAACTTTCCTGTTTCTTCAGGACCAGCTGTCACCACAGCAAAGGTTTGCTATAAAATAGAAAAGGAAGTTCACATCCAATCAAACTAACCTCCACATCACACAGGTGGAGTTTTCTGTCCCTGAAACACTGCAGGACCAAAAGCCTCTTGTGTGCAATTTGGAACAATGAGCTGATACATTAAATTGAAAGGAAATTAAGATGTTCCTTAAAATGTTTTAATGTTAAAAGGGATGAATATTTTTTTTATTTAGTGAGAATATGGTAATAGGGATCTATAATATATTTTTTTTCCTATCTAACCTTGGGAATGGAATTGTCCTGCCTTCATAATAATCTCCTAAATTCATTCTTCCTGTATCTACCCAAAACAGTCTTTCGTTAAAGTAACTTTGTTAAAGTATACTTAGTCCCTACACTGCACTTGGATTTTAAGAAAAACAAAAAGCACATAACCTACATCCCAAATAAACTGACACTGCATATCCAACTGTTAACTGTACATCACCCTTTTGCTGTGGCTGGCTGAGAGAAAGTGGACAGCCTTCCTCATTTTCATTGAAATCAAGAGGCTAGAAAAAGCATAGTGCACTTTGATGCTTCAATTGTAATCCTCAGAAGGTCATCACCACCACAGTCTACTCTAAAGGAATATGCATATTTTTTGGAAGGAACTGGGGCAGAAATAAACTCACCCAGCTTCCAAAAGCAGATTAAAAATTGGAGGTTAGTTCAGATCCAGAGTTTTTCCTCAATAGGCCCAAGAAATTGCCTTCTCGTGATTAATTAAGACAAAGGCAGAAGAAAGGACAAATCAAAAAACCCTCAGCTTCAGTTTGATTTTTTAACAAGATAAAACTGGCAATTGAAGAACTCACCGAATCCAGGTAACAAGGCAACGCTTCTGCAAGGAGCCTTTCAGTGCAGCTGCTCACCTCTGAGGGCTTCAGAACCACACAATTCCCTAGAATGAGGAGAGAACACTTTACCAAGGTTGCAACAGATAAATACCCACCAATACCTGGATCTCCTGGAAGAATATCCATGGGATCTAATGCAGAAGTCTCCAAACATGGCAACTTTAAGACTTGTGGACTTCAACTCCCAGAATTCTCCAGCCAGCATGAAGTCCACAAGTCTTAAAGTTGCCAAGTTTGGGGACCCCTGATCTAATGTCTAGAATGAATTAGGAAATAGCTTCTCACTCACCAGCTGCAATGGCTCCCACAAGGGGCAACAAAGTAAGCTGGATAGGGAAGTTAAAGGCTCCAATGATCAGCACCACACCCAATGGCTCCTTCTGAATGAAGGCACAATCCAGCTGTGTCAACTACAGATAAACCAGAACAATTGTTCAGCTAGAAAGCCCACCTTCAGTTTGATGAGATAATATATCCTTTTGACTTTCATCCCCATCCAACCTAGAAACTTTCCTTTTCATTTGTTCTCCCACCACCCAGCTTCTCTCCTTACTAGGGTCTTGTTCACTTTTTCATCCTTCATCCAGTAGCTTAAGTTGTTAAGAGCGTTGGCCAGTTCATTTCTGACCAACAAAATCTCCGTGAGCTCAGTTTCAAAGCAGGGCTGGGGAGGAGAAAGACAAAATGAGGTGCATCAGTGATGTCCATATTGAGTTCAGAAGTGAACGATGTAGCAGTTCTTCAATGAGCAAACTTGTCTCTCATTCATGGTAAAGTTTTATCATGCCATCGTCTCAACTGATTCTTGAAATGTTTGGGTTTTACACCAGGATATGACACTAAGCTTAGTACTCTAGGTTCGTAAACCTTAATCGGCGGGAGACTCGCAGACAAACTCAGCTACAAATATAAAACTATATATAGTTAGATGACTGACTATGCAAAGAAATCTTGATAAGTTTAAACTTTTTCATCCCACTTTTCTGAGATAAAGTACTTGGCTGTACTCTTAACCATTTGTTGACTGCTCAACTGTGTTTACATAATGATTTTCCATAGCCTGAGGGTTAGCTAAATTCAGCTCTCATGGCACATACAGAAAACATTGCTTCTTTTTCATATTTTTTTCAGGGAAAATCTAACAAAGAAAAATAGAATAGCTGTGTCATGTTTATTAACTGGCAAGCAAGCCCTTCATCTGCAAGTCCCCACTCAGCTGTCAGGTGCTCTAAATGGATAGCCCACTCACCTTGTGTAGGTCCTCACACAGGGCATGCTGGATATCGGCCTGTCTTTCCTCCAGAAAGTGGCACAGGGCTTCTAGTTGTGTGACCCGAAATTCCTTTGGACGCGTCTTTCCCGACATCCAGGTAGCACGTAAGCAATCCACTAGACCAGCATAGGGGTTTACACTAGGAGAAAACAAACACTCATAGAATCAAAAGAGTTATGGAAGAGTCCCACTCTTTTTATCATTTATGTTAATCCTGATTCCGTGTTGTCTTTCTTTACTTTACTAACAGAGTCTGGAAATTTCTGCCATGACTTTTTGGGCTTCCCAGTACTTAAGACAAAGACTTCTACTTCAGACAAGACTCAAAATGATAATTTTCCTTTTGTCCTACACTTGTGTCATTCTTTTTCTAAAGAATGTCATTATCTTGGGCCACAAGCAAGAATAGCTATACTTTTCTCATAGTTTTCTTAAAAACTCACTTGGTGATATCCAGATAATCAAAGTTTTTTTTCTTTCATGTAGCAATAGATTCTGACCCTAGCATTTAGATTATTGGGATTGAAACTAGATGTTCTCCATAATCTCCTTCAGTCCTTACATTCTTTGATGTTACCTCAAATAATTTATCTCAGCTTGCCATTTTTCAGGTGTTCAGAGTGAGCTTGGGCTCCCAGATCCTGATCACCATTGCCATGAACACTGAATAATTTGCCTGGAGATGAAATGTGCTGAACGAAATAGGACAAACAGGATGGGATAAGAAAAGGATGCTTGATGCAGATTTTAATTTAGTTTCTACTATTTTAACAAAATGTTGGTTTCTCTCTCTATTTTAACAAGATGTCAGTATTTTGTAGGTTTTAATTTTTTGGGCAGGGTTGATGGGGCATGCTAATATATATTATAATTAAATAAGTTTCTCAATTCATCCAATTCCAAGTCTGCATGATTTTCTTTTTTAATTACCAAGAGATGCTGAGCTTGAAATTAACAACTGATCCAGAACACAGTGGCATGCACAGTATTGGGTGTTCCTAGGTACGCCCACATTACATCTGTACTGCACTGGCTTCCAGTTTCCTTCTGGGTGCAATTCAATGTGCTGGTTATCAACTTTAAAGCCCTAGGTGGCAGGATCAGCCTTCCTGAGAGGATCTGCCTATCTTATTACATCAGAAAGGACAGGAATGATCCAAGTCCCTTCTCGGAGATATTTTTCATCTAGTTCAGGGGTTTCAAACATGGGGCCCACAGGCAAATACATCACGCGCTGGCCATGCCTACCCCCGGTTTAGCAAAAGGAGGGGGAAATTGTAATACATCACATGACGACAATGTGTTGTCATGAGTTTGACACCCCTGATCTAGTGAGACATTGGAGGTGTTTCTTTTGCATCGCGGTCTCTACCTTATGGAATATCCTCCCCACCTCCATTGATTCAACAGGTCCCCACCCTTTTAGTTTTTTAGAAGGCCATCCAGATCTTTTTGTTTTAGCCAGACAATGGGATAGGACAGAATAAAATAGACAGAATGGAATTCGGGTAATTGGAACTGGCCGGAAAGCATCCAAAGTGTAAGGTGGAAGGTTTTTGTTTTTATTTGACAGTTACACTGTTTCATGCTTATGTTTTATAGTTACTGCTGCCAGAGTTGTTTAAGATGGGTGAAGTCATCTAAATAAATAAATAAATAAAATCCCTTTTTGAATGAAAACTGGATCTGCCATAATAAGTCCACCGCTTACCTATAAACCAATTTAAGTTCTCCATAGGATTTTACCTGGAAAACTTCATACTCTTACACTGTGATTTCTCAGTCTGAATGCGAAACACCTGAATACAGCTGCTTGTCTGTTAAAGAAACAAGAGTGGCAGGAAAGCAGCAGAGAATTTTGGCCAAGGACCAGCAGATTTAAGTACATAGAAACCAACAGACACATATCTGGCTGACGCAGCTCAACTGCTACTCCACAACAATGACTTCCACAAGAGTTCCTATTGTGAACTGTTGAATCCTATTGGTTTGTTCATGTTGGCTACAAAGTGATACAAAATACCTTTGAAGTCATCCAGGTGAGTAGTGACAAGTTGCCAAGATGTTTGCAGAAACTTCCTGGAGCAACCACAAGCCCCATGCCCAACACCTGCTAGAGTCCCAGGTGTCCGCCTGTATTTTCCAAGCTTGGGAACAAAGTCAGTTGCTTTGTAACAGGGGAAGTAATTCATGCAGAGGAATAGTTCATATAGACAGCAATTATAATGACATTTTAAAATTCAAAATGTTTTTTTATAACTTTTCATTCATTCTCTCAGCTGTTCTGATTATCTGTATTTGCCTGACAAAAGTTCTACACAATAGGCAGAGATTGAGAATGGACAATATTTCCAAGAACAGATAAGCAACGTTGGAAAGAATCAAGACAGGACCTATTGAATGTTGCCTATAATTATTAGTACTTGTTATTAAAGTACAGACCTATTTTTATATGGAGAACAGAAATTATATTATCCTACATACAAAATCTAGCATCCTTCTGTAATGTATTAAAAGTGTTTTTTCTTCATCTTTGCTATCCTCTTGTGAACACAAGAGTGTTCTCTCTCTGGTTTTGTACATCATGTAAGTCCATAAATGTGATTTTTCAGTTTTGATGCAACAAGGGTTTTAAGCAATAGTTAGTATGTGTGAACCTTCTCACTATAGTCTCAGTAAACCCCTAGACCTAGGTGAACATGCTCCTGATTCATCTCTGTATATGCAGGGGTGGGATGCTACCAGTTCTGCCCGGCTCTATAGAACCGGTAGCTCTGAAGAGCAGCAGACACAGAACCGGTTCTGTGTCTGCTGCTGTTTGGACCACCCGCCCACCCAGGCTCTTACCTGTCCTTTATTTTCTGCTTTTTCAACCTCAGCTGCTTTGCGCGGCACAACTGAAGTTGAAAAAGCAGGAAAAAGGTGGCTTTTCAAATGCTGCGCACTCACGCACAGTGATTTTCAGCTGGGCAGCACAGCTTAAGGTTTATTACATGCGTGTGCAGCGTGCATCTGGCACGCGTGTGCGCAAAGCACGCATGTGCGTGCAAAACATGCATGTGCACGCAAAATGTAATCACCGAACCGATAGTAACACTGGTTGAATCCCACCCCTGCGTATATGACATACTTTCATAGGTAGTCCTCCACTTACAACAGTTCATTTAGTGACCATTTGAAGTTACAACAGCAGTGAAAAGAGTGACTTGTGACCGTTTTTCACACTTACAACCATTGTAGCATCTCCAAGGTCTTGTGATCAAAATTCAGATTCTTAGCAACTGACTCATATTTATGACGGTTGCAGTGTCCTGGTCATGTCCTCACCTTCTGCAACCTTCTGACAAGCAAAGTCAAGAGGGAAGCCAGATTCACTTAACAACCGTGTTACTAATTTACCAAGTGCATTGATTCACTTAACAATGGTGGCAAGAAAAGTTGTTAAATGGGGCAAAACTCACTTAAAAATGTTTCACAGGGCAACAGAAATGTTGGGCTCAAGTGTAAACATAAGTCGAGGACTACCTGTACTTACCAGACTCTCATTCTTCTGTTTTACCAATAGAATATCACCCGAACTGAGCTCAACAGAAAAGACAGTCTAGTAATTTGGAGGGATCTCACCTAACCTGTTTTCCTCTGAACCAGTTTCTTACCTATCCGAGCCTTGGGATTTGCTGGAAATGTCCTGTGGTTTGTTGCCCTTTGTATTGGAGCTCCCTGAGGAGCAACTCTGTGTGTTCCCTCTTGGGTTTTCCTGAGATTGTCTGTTTTGTTGTCTTCTGCTACCTTGCTCTGAAGAGCCACCATCTTGGGGGTCCTGGTTTTGTGGTTGCTTCATATGGCTGCCACTCTGCATGCCACTTTGTTGACTGGAACTTTCCGTCTGATTGCACTGGTTTCTGGTACTCTGCTGCCCTGAACTCATGGTGCAATCTCTGAAGGGAATGTCATGGAATTTGTGTTGAGCCAAAGAAGCACCTCTCTGGCCTTGAGATTGCCTGGATCCCTTCTGTCCTGAGCTGCTGCACTGCATTCTGTCTTCCGTGAGCTTGCACTGATATCTGAAAGTCTGCCTCCCTGGACTCACAGAGCATTCGCCTTCAAGAGGAATTTCATGAAGTTTGTGTTCAGTGAAGGTAGCACCTTGCTGGTCTTCAGGGTACCTGGATATATTCGGAACTTTGCCCCAGTGTCCTTGAAATACACTTTGCACTGTTTCTCCAGCTAGAAAGAAGAGAAGAAAATAATCAGATGTGCTCTCTTGTGGCTATTAATGTCTACACATTTTCTGTGTATTACTAATTACTAATGTTCACTACTTCTATATGTATACTAATTACTAACTCAGTTTCAGGAAGATTTTAATTTATTAGTCCTAGGCCCATGGATTCACATCTGTTGTATTCTATATTGAAGAGAACAGGATTTGGGGATATGGTCACAAGCTGTGATACATTTCAGGCCATTCCCTACCAGTTAATAAAAATGGCAAATATTTTAAACCATCACAAGTATTCTTGAATGCAAAGGGAACCAACCAAGTAAGAAGTGAAATGAGATGGTAGAATTCATAATATCATTTTAATGTGTAGAGAGTATCACATTTTTAATGATTTAATAAATTGCCTATACATTTACCACCCATAAATTTAAACATGGCATTGTAAAATATGGGTTAGAACAATATTATTTTTACTTTGTTTTTAAATTTGCACTTTTAACATTGAATGATTTATATGGAATCCCCTATCATTTGTCTCTGTCTCTCTCAGTGTGCAGTGTGAAATTAAACATATCATTGTGTTGTTTGTGTAGCCCAGTCTTTCACAACTGTGGCTTCCAGTCCAGTTATACTGGACTGCGATTACCAGAATGGTAAGCAAAAATACTGTTACAGAATTCTGGGAATTGTAACATCTACATGTTTGGAAATTATTGAAGGGTTGATGACTCTATACACAAAAAAAACCAACTAAGGTTTCAAATAGCAAATTGTTAAGGTACACCATGAGTTGTATAAACAACTTCTCTGATGAATACATTCTCTTAGAAAATTTCTCCTGGGCTAATTCAAGATCAGAAGTAATATTGTCAGAAGGGAAAATGGCGGGGATGAAACATCAGTGAGACCGGTATCCAGTTATTTTCACCATAGTTCCCATTCTTTTTTAGACATTTTGCATGACCTGTCAGATGTATGGTACTGCAGGATCTGGCTAAGTGCTCTTCCACTCTGAACCACTAGATGGACAGGAAGAAGATATCATTACAGCAAAGTCAGAAGAATTACCAATCCATGGTCCTCTAATATTGATTTATTGACAACTCTCATCAGCATTAGCTAAAATGGTTAATGGTTATAGGTTTTGAGCAACGTAATAAGGCAATTATATTTGGATATTCGCCGGTTGCCTATATCAGACAAATATGGAAAAGCTGCTGAAAATAAATGCCTTCATATCACTCTTTTTTCTTTTTGTCATATGTTGTATAAAATCACCATGCTAACCTAGGTCAAGTATTAAATACTGGAAGTTTTAAAAATTGTGTTAATTTTCTGATTTGAGCAATTTTGGAATATACATATGCAGTACTATTTTGGGATCTAAGTATATTAAAACTTAACTTCAAAAATTGAGAGAAAGGCAGAGATATAGGAAAATTGAATGAAAGCAGGGATATTGACTTTGGACCAACTGATAGATGATGAAGATAAATGTTTAACATGCTTTGTGTTAACAGATAAATATCAATCACCAGATATAACTCAATGACAATATTTACAATTACAAAATTTGTTAACAAGACTGTTTAGATTAGCAGCATTTTTAAGACACCTAAGATACTAGAACACTTGTTTAATCTTTTAAAATTAAAACACCTATGATTAATTTTTAGCTATATTTGTTATCTCATTAAAAGTTGTATAAATTTGATATGCAGATGTTAAGAAATGAGTGAAATGAAGAATTAGCAGTTCTTATGTTGTCTAAAGAATGGGATAGTGTGTTAATTTCTATAGCAAGGGTGTCAAGGGATCTCAAATTACAGTTTATACAACAAAAAGTAATATTCAAAATTGGCTCCATTACATTTGTACATAAAATGACAGTCAAAAACAGCATTTTGTTGGAGATGTAATAAGGATAATACTTCTTTAAAACAGGTTTCTACAGTGTCCTAATTTGAAGTGTAAACATTTTTGGGAGAAAGTGATGAACAATATAAATACAATTATGCGATAAAAGCCTTTTCAGAGGACAATATTTGTTTGAATTATACACCCAGTAGATGAATTTGATATAATTGGACTACTTAAAAGGATTCTCTGGGACTTCCGGTTTGTCAGCTTCGCCAGCGGCAGGGATTCGCGATCCTGCGCGATCCCTGCGGCGCTAGCCGTCTTGGTGCCTCCGATCCTGACGGATCTGGAGGCTAAGGCTGCCCCGCAGAGGCAGCCGAAGACAGGGAGGAGGTGGTGAGGGGTTTGGGGGTGTTGCAGACCCCCTCCCCAGCCGGCAAAACCCCCTTTTCTCAAGGCGGTCGAGCGGCGGTCTGTAATGGCCGCCACAAAGAAGCCGGCAGCTGGGTAAGACTGAGCAGGAGGAAGAGGGGAAAAAGTTTCTAAGAGAAAGTTTTTTTGGCTGACCCAGGACTTTAAGAGGCGTCTAATCCTGAAAACTATGACTTCTTGAACGATACTTTGTTTCCAGAGGAGAACTTCAAGCGGCAAAACTGAGGTGCTGAAAGGGAAAGTTTACCCTCCTTCCCTATGGAATCAACAAATTGCCATTGAGAAACCTGTTGTTTTTTATAAAAGGTAAAAACTTGGCTTCTTGTTATAAGTGGGAAGGGAGAGGACAAAAAAAAATATTAAGATTTTGTTGGAGGAGATGCCTTGAAGATTTTGAGACTAAAAATTAATTGCAACAAGGCTCTAAAATACAGATTGGGCTTTTTTTCTTTTCCTTTTTATTGATACCACCCCAGGAAGAGAAAGTGAGAACTTTGTGCTTTGTCTGGACTGATTGATGTCTCTGGGACTTTGGGGAATTGTTTTAACTTTTGAAACATCTTGGTTGCTTTAAGAAGAAGAACAAAGAAAAGATTTATAATGGCTTTACCTGTTGATGAACTTAGAAAAGAATATGGGAAAATAAAGAAAGAAAGAAAGGACGCTGTGAAAGAAGCCTTCCTTTTTTTAGAAATGGCGCTTGCTGTTTATCAGCAAACACAACAACAGATGGAGGAAATAGAAGAAGAAGAAGCAGAAGAAGAAGAAAAAGAAGAAGAAGAAGACGCCATCTTCAATGAATCTAAAAATTTAACTAAGAGAGAAAAGAGAAAGAGAGGAAGGAAAATGAAGGACTCAAGACTTAAAAAAATATTCAAGAAAGAGAAAAATAAGATGCAAAATCAACACAATGTTATTAAGCAAAAGGAAAAAGGAATACAACAGAGAGGGGAAGTTAAAAAGGCAGAGGTTAGTAGAGGGAGGGGTAAAAAGGCCAGGTGGGATAAGAAAGGAAGGGAAAAGGGAGGAAAAAGCCACAAAGGTATGAAACAAGGTGGGAAAAAAGGAATTTTTTTAGGGATAAAGGGTAATGTATAATTTCTTTAAAAAAGAAGATTCTGCAAGGTACATAAGATGGTATTGTAGTATTTGTATTAGAAATAGAAAACTAGAATGTTATAAGAATTAATAAAAGACTAAAATATTGAAATGTTTAGTAATGACAGATTTTAAAATTTAACAAAATATTAAAAGGAATGTTTAAAATATTGAGTTTAATTAAAAGGTTTAATTGATTATTGTCTTGATTCTACTATAAACTTATTATTGTAGCATTTGTTCTTTGAAATGGATAATTGGAATGTTATAAGATTCAACATTTAGATTTATTACCTAATTATATTAATTATTATGGACTTATTATTTTTTCTCTTTTTAAAGGTTGGCAGGTAGAATGTACTAAGCAGAATCAGATTGGGTACTAGGTGTTATTTTAAATATTAACTTAGGGGGAGGATAGAAAGGCATCATACTCTGATCAGTGATTTCAGGAGAAATCCTTTTTTTTTTTTTTTACTGTAGGGAATGAGATAAATGGATAATTTGGAAAGAATGGACAAAAAATACAAATATAATGATTTAAATTAAAATGAATTAGATAAAATAGAATTAAGAAGAGTGAAAAGCAGTGAGAAGTTATATAGAAGATATAAAATGATAAATAAGATAGGTAATGGTATATAAGATGAGCACGAATTTAATTGAAGTCCATACAAAGAGAGGTAATCTGGGGCCAAACTACTTTCTTAAAAGAAGTTTTATATTTTTGTGTCTTGTGTGTTCGTGTTTGTTTGAGAATTAATAAAACCTCGGAGGAATGTTGGATGAGAATAATGGTAATTAAGTCAGAGAGAAATGTAGATGATGATTATAAACTGGATAAATATAGAAAATAATAATAATAATAATGAAATTGAATACGAAAAGAGAAAAAATGAGAAATTTTCTAAGAGATATTTATGTGTCCATATCGAAATGGTGTAAAACAGAATTATGCTGTATAAAATAATATTTTACTTGACTTGTAAAATTAATAATGGAAAGAGGTTTTATGTATTCAATGGTTGATGATGGTTTGTTTGTCTTTAAAATCAATAAAATTTGTTCCAAAAAAAAAAAAAAAGGATTCTCTGTGCCCTTTCTATGGCAGAATGTCTGATATTTCAGAATTAGTAAGATACGGATCTGGCTCCATTTATTCAATGGCTTGAAGAGCTGATTGCCCTTGATGCTTACGAGCACATTGACGACAGACTTTATATAGATAAATATAATGAAATATGGAACTCGTTTTACAGAATAAAGTAGGCTAAGATAGTTGTGTAAATGTATTAGAAATGTGTATTTAAAATTGGCATTAAGCAAGTATATATAGAATTGTAACTGTTTAGTTACAATTAGAAAAAAAAGTCATATTGTTTTTGTTATATTTCTTTTACATTTCTGTTACATTTTTGTTTTCTCTCTGACTATGTATGTATCATCATCACTATCATTTTATGTTTTGCTCTCTATTTTTGTTATTAAATTACAAATAAATTACAGTAATTTATTAAAATTAAATTACTTAAAGAAAGTTCCTTTTTGACTCAGTATGTTTCCTCTACACATTATCCCAGGAAATAGTAATTGTCAGATATCATAATATATTCTTAAATATGTAGTCCAAAGTATTTTGTACAACATTCATTTTTACAATTATTCTATGACATGTCCATTATTTCCATTTTATAGATAGTAACCTGAAATTGAGATATACCATAGTAAGACTGCAACAAGTTCCCAATAGAGGGACCCATGCTTTTCGAATCTAGCATCAGAATCCATGCAGTATTCATTTTTACAATTACTTTATAGCACATCCCTTATGCAGAGGTGGGTGCTGGGGGTTCACAGGGGTTTGGGAGAGCCTCTAGCTAAGGTTCTGTGCAGTTCGGAGAATCCCCAAATCCAGGGGTGGGATTCAAAGTTTTTAACAACTGGTTCTATGGGCGTGGCTTAGTTGGTGGGCGTGGCTTAATGGTCATGTGACTGGTGGACATGGCTTGGTGATCATGTTATTGGCTGGGCGTGGCCAACTCAACTTCACTCACATCAAGGCACGCATCTCCTTCCCTGGCCTCTCGTGACTGTGGGGATGCTGCAACAGTCGTAAGTGTGAAAAATGATCATAAGTCACTTTTTTCAGTGCCATTGTAACTTTGAATGGTCACTCCACACAAGCAAAGTACCAGCAAAGGAGGGGAAAAAACTTCAGAGAAGTTCCTGAGACAGGAAGTCTAGTCCTGCCAAGAATGTACCGTATTTGCCGGCGTATAAGATGACTTTTTTGCCCTGAAAAACATGCCTCCAAGTGGGGGAGTCGTCTTATACGCCGGTAAATACGTTGTTGTCACTCAGTGCAAGAGCGACGGGGGCGGAGCTCCGCAACTTGCGAAGCCCCTTCAAGCCCAGCCGGAGTCTCTCTTCCTCCTCCTCCCCCCCACCCTCCCCACCCACCCTCCGCCCGGCTTGGGGCGCTTGCGGAGGCCAATCTGGAGGTGGGGTGGGGGTGGAGCGGGAGGGTCTCTGGCGGGGCCGCTTCGCCCAGCCAGCCCCGAGCCACGTAATGGCCCAGGGAGTGGGGGGGAGAAGGTGGTGGGGGTGGACTGTGGCGCCCCTCCTTCTGGGCAGCGGGGCGGGGTGCCGCAATTTGCTCCTCCCGCTTCTCCCTCCCTCTTTGAAAGACCAGGAGGGCTGTGCTTGGGGCGGGGGGATGTCCTCGGGAAGTTCCTGATGGGACCCCGCTGGGCAGGGCCACCTGGCTCCCGAGCTGCTTTCCAGGGTCCCCTTGGGAAGAAAAGGGTCCGGTGGGCGGTGGAAGAAGGCGAGGGACCTCCTCCCGCCCCCTGTCCCGTCCCGTCCCTCCTCTTGTCCCCTCCTCCCCTCCCCGCTTAAGAGAGAAAGATCCGCCTCCCCGGCACCGAGCTGCCACCCAGCGCCGTGTCTCCCAGCCAGCGCACGCTTGCGACTTGGGAACCGGCCAAGCGACTTTAAAACCGAGCGGAGGCCAGAGATAGCCAGAATTACCCTCCACACCACACACACACACACACAGAGAGAGAGAGAGAGTTGGCAGCTGTCCATCCCCCACGCTTGGAGTCCCAATGGCACGCACGCGGGGGCTGTCACAAAGAAAGGGAGAGGAATTGAGTGCCAGCCTGAGAAAGACGAAGCCGCCTCTCTAAAGCATTTTGGTGGCTTTGTAAGTTTGGGAGAAAGGGTTGGGGGTGTCAATCAAGAATTATATCCAGAATACCCCAAGTGTTACAACTTACCGTATTTGCCGGCGTATGAGACGACTTTTTTGCCCTGAAAAACATGCCTCCAAGTGGGGGGGTCGTCTTATATGGCGAGTATATAACAAACTCTATATTTTGAGTGGAAATGTTGGGGGCTCGTCTTATACGCCCAGTCGTCTTATACGTCGGCAAATACGGTAATAAGGGTTAATGGAGAGGCAGTTTCTGTAAGCAACACCAGAATGTTTCCTTCCTGCCTTCCTTACAGGGTTAGGTCAGTAATTTCTTCTAACAACCGGTTCTAGCAAATAGGTGCAAACTGGTAGAATCTCACCCCTGCCCAAATCCTACTCCTGGCCGGCCCCGTCCACCCTGTCCCTCCCAGGAGTCCCCACACGGCCCATTTTGGATGCAGGTAAGTGCAGGGCGTGCGCAGAGGCTCGCATAAGATGAAAAACAAGCTTCCAGGAAGTTCAGAAAGACTGGAAATGGGCCTGTTTCCAGCTTCCAGAGAGCCTCCGGAGTCTGGGGAGGCCGTTTTCACCTTCCCAGAGGCTCGAGGAAAGCCTACAGAGCCTGGGGAAGGCAAACCCCACCCCCGGTGGTGCAGGAGGCCAACTAGGCCACGCCCACTATGGCCATGCCCACCCAACAACCAGGCAAAGAATCCTTTGCTAAATGTTTGAAACCCATCCCTGCCCTTATTTCCATTTTGTGAATAGAAACCTGACATCGAGATATAGTAAGACTAAAGGAATAGCAGCAAATTCCCATGACAGGGACCCGTGTCTTTCAAATCCAATACCAGAATCCAAGTGATCTCACCAATGAGTCTCTCTGTTTTCTACAGCATGCTTTAAAAAGCTCTGATTATATCTAGTCCCTTTCTATCTAAACTGCTTATCACAAGACAGAGAATCTATGATGTCCAAGAAGTTGCTGACCACCAGCTGCCAATATCCCTCAGTTTGCTATGCCAGCTGAGCTTTCCCTGAAAAACTAGCTCAGCAACATATGGAGAACCATCACGGCTTCTTCTGAGATCTGAACTGTAAAATCTTAGAAGAGAATCTAACTCATGCTCCCTTAACTCCCTGGATCCATAGCTGAGCTGGCAATAGGTTGCCCTATATCAGAGTGGGACAACCTGATGTCCTCCAGATATTTGAAGCTAAAATGCCACTATGTTGCCACTGGCCAAGCTGCTTGTGCAGAAAGAGAAAGAAAATTCAAAACTTCTGTAAGATTGCCATATCAGCCTTAGGAGGAAAATATGGTATTTGCTTCTAGCCTCTAGGCTTCTTTGGTACCTGTTTCCATTGTTGTAGCTTGTATTCCTCGGCCTGCTTCTTTCTTCTTGGCTGGTTCTTGGATGCAGGTGGTAAATGGAAGTTTCCTCTTCGCCCTGTTTATTTCTGGAGAACTGTTTTTTATTCAGCATGCTTATGTTGGTTTGTTTTTTGACACTTCATCTCTGGCCATGCTGATTGGTTGTTACCAAAGCCCTCTTGTAATTCATTGGATGCTGAAGGTGCTGAGGGTGTGGCTCTGCAAAGCCTCAAGAATGGGAAGGGAATATTCAGTGCAAAGGATATGACTGGAAGGGTGGAGATAATCCATATGGATCATGTGAAGGCTGAGCTGGTCTTTTGGAACTATGTGGGCAGAGACAAGGAAAACAGGGAACCTGGGTGAGAGGAGGATGAGAAAAGCACAGGAATGGATCCTAATAGTCCCCAGGAGCTGCTGGGAATCAGTCAGCACATAAATTTTGTATATTATCATTATCTAGGATCTAAAACAAATGATTTTCTGTGCCAAGCTTACTTAATGAAAGTGAGTACAATTGTAGAGAAGAAAAGAGTGTCCACTCTTAGCACACATGATTTAAAAATATTGCAAAGTTTGAATATTTAAAAGATTGAGACATGAAATATGTGCACTGTGGGCTAGGTAACCTCCCTAGCAGAGCAATTGTGCCATGTGAATCATCCTCTCCTTCCACCTTACTCTAATGCTCAAAATTCCACTTTTCTCCTTCATCAGCTGGTATTCTGGAGAAGACACTCTCCCTTCATATGTGGAGTCCTTGTTCCCCCCCACCCCCAGAAACTGGAGGGAACTATAATCTCGACACACCATACTCTTATCATAATCCTGCACATGACACAGGAATCCTGACTGCCCAACCACCACTATTATATTTTTGTACCTCTGAAAATAATTACATCAAACAAAGATGTCATCTTTCAGGATATAATGAGAGTGTTTTAGAGTTCCTATCCTTGACCAGAGCTCTTAATTGAGCATCCTGTGCTGTAGGGAACAGGTAACACTAGAAAACCTTTGGCATATTTAGTGATGCAGCTACATCAGCAGCCAGAAAAATCTGCCTGAGTCATGAGTCATTCAGTAACAAGGTCTTGGATTGCCCGTGACATTACCATCCAAGACCAGGCATAAATTGCAGCATCATGAGTTTGTGCCATAGAATTGTGCCATAGAATAGATTAGGCAATTCAAATGGCCTTGTTCTGCCATAGGCCACATACAGACTTATTGTTTATTTATTTATTTGTTAAATTTATATGTCTTTTCCATTAATTTATTTTTATAGTGAATGGAGCCTAAAAACCTGATCGGTGGAAAGGTGATATATCTAAATATAGACTGCAAGATTTAGATCTTAATAAAACAAAGATGAAATCTTTCAAGGCATTCACTTCACACATTTCAATATCTTCAGATAAGCAGCATAGTTCATATATCATCTTTTCTTTAGAACAGGGGTGTCAAATTCATGACCCATGGGCTGGATACGTCACACTCTGGCCACCCCCACCCCGGTTTAGCGAAGAGGGGGGGAAGTCATGATACATCACGTGATGGTGTGAGGTTGCAAGTTTGACACCGGTGCTTTAGAAGAATGACAGACTAAACTCTGGGACTATGCATCATTATCAAAAATAATTCAGTAGAATACAGAATTTAAGTTAATATAGAATGAGTTTATGGATTATTCTTCTGCACATCAGCACATCAACTTGGACAACATCTGAGGTTTGAACTCTTAATATAATTCTTAAAAACATTATAGCTTGCCTGATTTGTTACAATAGACTTTTTTGGTTAGATAGAAGGCCTAATTATATCTAACTAAAATAAGTTAGAATAACTTGTAGAATAGTCTCTGTAATCTAACTAAAATAATGTTTATCCTCTTTGGGAGACAGGAATCAGTTCTCAGTGGTTCCTCATCATTTTGCAATACGCTCAATCTAATAAAAATAAATAAATGCTGTAGTAAACATTTACACTCTCCAGGTTGTCCTCAACTTATGATCATAATTGAGCCCAACATTTATGTTGCTAAGTGAGAAATTTGTTAAGGGAGTTTTGCCCCATTTTACAATTTTTCTCACCACATTTGTTAAGTGAATCACCACAGTTCTTAAATTAGTAACACCGTTGTTAAGTGAATGTTTTCCCCATTGACTTTGCTTGTCAGAGGGTCGCAAAAGGGGATCGAATGATTCCTGGACACTACAACCGTCCTAAATGTGAGTCAGTTGTCAAGCATCTGAATGTAAATCATGTGACCACGGGGATGCTGCAATGGTCATAAATGTGAAAAATGGTCATAAGTTGCTTTTTTCAGTGCCGCTGTAACTCTGAACAATCACTAAATGAATTATTGTAAGTCAAGGATTACCTGTACATATGAAGTACATGATAAAGATTACAGATTCCCATTGCATATGGTGTGTATATCACAACAAATGCAAATCAAAGTGAAACTTCCTAAGTACAGAGGACTGAACCACATAATTTTTCTCTATAATCAACTAGTACCTGTGAACAATTCTTAAAGATAGCAAACCCAAAAATGATCCCTGGGATGTGATTAGCTGCATACATGTTGCGTACATGCAATAAATTATTTTCAGACCAGTGGTGGGATTCAAATTTTTTTACTACCGGTTCTGTGGGTGTGGCTTGGTGGCCGTGGCAGGGGAAGAAAACTGCAAAATCCCTATTCCCTCCCCACCCCCCTAACCTGCTTTCCAGCTCCGTTCTCCTGTGCAGGGCAACCAAAGAAGACCCAGAGGACTCAATGGGAGGCAGAGAACAGATGCGGGCGGGGCCAGTCAGAGGTGGTATTTGCCGGTTCTCTGAACTACTCAAAATTTCCACTACCGGTTCTCCAAAACTGGTCAGAACCTGCTGAATACCACTTCTGGTTCAGACCTCCAAACATAAGCCCCACTCTAGCTCTTCTACCTAATGGACCTGAGCCAATTTTACCCTATTTAAAAAAAATTCCCAGATAGCTTTTCTATAGCATATATAAAATATAAATTCCAATCTCATGCTTGAAAGAAAAAAATTAAAAATTACAACTTAGTGTCCCAGGCAGGGACTCATCTTTGATGAAAAAAGTTTGAAAGTCTATGTTTTAATGACAATCTAACAAGAGGTTATAAAAATACTCTCAGCCATTAGCTCTCCCCATACATTTGTTTTTTTAGGACATATTTTTAGTATATCAAAAATGAATAAATAAACTTTCTCCTCTTGTGTAAACTGCATAAAAGGAAATAGTGAGTAGTAGGGAAAAGTCTATGGATATTCACAAGGATGTGCTGGGGTAAGAATCTCTAAGATGGCAGGCATTGTGTTGCAGTCTAAGTCCATAATCTTGATGTTATGCCTGACACCTTTCAAATTTTGACACCTCTCCATGGAGGGTGTTGGGAAGGACTTTCTGATTAAAAAAAGAACTATCAATATTTTAAATAAAAAGTAAACAATAACAAATCTAAAAAGTAAAATATTTCAACCTTTTTTTTTTTTACAGAGGGCAGCTTTAACACCAACAAGTATTTTGTGTATTTTAATTTTCTGGCTGATCTTTTAATAACAGGGTGCTTTTAATAACAGGGTGCTTTGCATCCATTCAGTATTGTTTTCTATTATTTCTTTGCTTTCTTTGAAGCAGGTGCTAATAGTCTATATTTGTATTTCATATGGTTGCGGGATAGGGCTGTTTTCATGAGAGTTACCCCTTAGATGTGGTGGGAGATCTCAATCACTTCACTCGATCCTGAGAAGGATATTAATGAAAGTGGAGGCTCCTGGTAGGGTCACATTTGCAGGAGAGGACCCAACCCAGGGAGCGGGATGAAGATAAAAGTAACAGGGAAGATGGAGCTCTGCCTGTATGAGGAAAACCAAGCTACCTGGGAATAGGAACTTTTCAGGGTCCATTTTTTTCTCCATCAGTCCAAGGTGTAGACAGGACACAGCAAAGTGAGGAGAGGGGAGCAGAACCTAGGTAAATTCAACTGCACATCTTCACACAGTTTATACAGGAAGAGCCTTTCCCTTGGGAACACTCAAGACTGTCTATAAGACATACTAGAAGAAATGAAGTATTTCTTATACCTGTAACCATCATTTATTAGTGGGGTTTATCTGGTGGCTCTCCCACATAGGTACATGAACAAGAAGTGTGCAGAACAATGAAATACCATGTGTGATATGTGTGGCATGGAATGAGATCAGGACTTTAATATGATAACCATAAACAACATCCTGTCTTCAGTCACACTCCTTTAAGAATATCCATTTCCCTTTAGCCATGAACTTTTCTGCTATGTATCCAGTCCCAAACAGAAGGATCCTAATTAATGCACTATATTTATTTATATTTATTTATTTATTTATTTGATTTGCCAATTGTTTACAAGATAATAAGTATAAGTGTATACATAGTTGTGAATACATGAAATGGGTACATATAAGAAAAATAAAAGAATAAGAGAAACAATAGGACAGGGACGGTAGGCACGTTGGTGCGCTTATGCACGCCCCCTACAGACCTCTTAGGAAAGGGGTGAGGTCAATAGTAGACAGTCTAAGGTTAAAGTTTTTGGGGTTTGGGGAAGAAACTACAGAGTCGGGTAGAGTATTCCAGACATTGACCACTCTATTGCTGAAGTCGTATTTCCTGCAATCAAGTTTGGTGCGGTTAACTTTGAGTTTGTATCTATTGTGTGCTCTTGTGTTGTTATGGTTGAAGCTGAAGTATTCATTGACAGGTAGGACATTGCAATGTATGATTTTATATACCATGCTTAAGTCAGACCGAAGACGGCGTAATTCAAGGTTTTTTAGTTCTAGAATTTCAAGTCTGGTGGCATAAGGTATTCTACAACGAGTAGAGGAGTGAAGAACTCTTCTTGTGAAATATTTCTGGACTTTCTCAATTGTGCTAATATCAGATACGTAATGTGGGTTCCAGACTGATGAACTGTATTCGAGTATTGGTCTAGCAAATGTTTTGTATGCTCTGGTTAGTAGTGTGATATTACCAGAGAAAAAGCTACGTAGGATTAGGTTAACAACT